ATTTGTTGCTGTTCTTATTTTGGGCGGTCTTATTATTTGTGTTAGTATGTTTGTTTTAGTTCTTTGTATTTTCGGGACTGCACGTCGCATCGAAACTGGAACCTTGTATATTGTATGACCGTATGTCAATGCGCCCATTTGCCGGATCAGAGGCGTCTTCCAGCTGGCCATGTTGTCTGCCAATGTGAGCAACATCATCCAGACAGCCCAGGCGAGCTACACTCATACTGTACAGTTTAGGCTCACATGCTCTTGCCCGAAGCCATTCCTGAGCGTTTGCCTAGAAGCTAGTCGTGATCACTAGTGTTGTCATCATTGCTATGCATTTTCGGGGCTGTCGGAAAGGTCTTTGACTACTTCTACGTGGACATCGCCGGAGAGTCCTGCGCCATCGAGCTTCTTGAGCAATGCCGGCTTTACAAGTTTTTTTCGTCGTACCTGCGAAGAAGACACACGTATGTATGTATGGTGTATGTGTGTCTCTCTCTCTCTCTCTAAAAAAAAAAATATATATATATATCCACATCTTTGTATATGGATCTACATTTACGAGGCACCACCACCATCGCCACCACAACAACAACGACGGCAGCGACCACTGTCGCCCTGTTACTGCTTCTGCTGCTGTTGCACTGCTTTGGAGTGCCTGTACGAGCATGGTTACTACGACTAGTACCAGCGCGAGTACGAGTGCGAGTACGATTACTACGACTAGTCCCAGCGCGAGTACGAGTGCGAGCACCAGTGCCATTACTACGACTGTAGTACCAGCGCGAGTGCGAGTACTAGTAGTCGTCGTCGTAGAAGTAGTAGCAGTAGTAGTAGTAGTAGTAGTAGTAGTAGTAGCAGTAGTAGTAGTAGTAGTAGCAGCAGTGGCGGTAGCAGTAGTAGCGACTTGTGCTACTATTTATCGCTATTGTTTGGTGCGACTACACTACACCCACTTTTAGTTCTTCTCCTACTTTGCCTCTTACTACTACTGAACTACTACTGCTGCTACTACTCCTCCTCCCGCTGCTACTACTACTACTACTACTACTACTACGACTACTACTACTGCTGCTGCTGCTGCTGCTGCTGCTACTGCTACTGCTACTGCTACTGCTACTGCTACTGCTACTGCACTACTACTACTGCACTACTACTACTACACTACTACTACTACTACTACTACTACTACTACTACTACCACTATAGCATTACAAGCATCACCGTCACCACCACCACCTCAGAGTTTTCACTGGCACCAGCAGTCAAGGCTCTTCCCTGACTTCGAAGCGCTCTGTCGAGCATCGAGGTCCGACATAACCCCTTTCGGCGCAGGGATGCTTGGCTTTAGGGTTTAGGGCTAGGGTTGAGGAGTTTACGGTTGCCAATCAGATGGTTCTGGCTCTGGGGAAGTTTTCCACGACCGACATGCTATGACTCCCGACCATGCATCGCAGCTGTCATTGACCCAATGTCGATAAACAGTTTCTAAAGTCGTCGCGTTGTGCGGAAGCGACTGGACAGCTGCTAGGAGGGTCCGGTGGCCATAAGGCAGAAGGCAGGTGGAACGAGGGAACTGTGAACGTAAGTGTCACAGTTGCCACGCCTGCGTAGTTTTGTGGCAACTGTTGCTCTGTTCTCTTCCTGGAGCTCCCTTCGTAACACAAATTTCTGCTCAAGGGCTGTTTGATCAATTGTTCGCTTTCTTGGGAACTTGTTGCGGAGAAACGCACACTTATCTAAAATTTCGTGCGCTTCCTGTGTTGAACAGTAAATAATCGAGCGTTTTCGTGCTTGAATCGCTTGCCCGGTCAATCGTTTATGCGCCTGATATGTAATGAGCCACACTGGCTTCAGCTTCCGATGTCGAACCGAGTGGTTCGATTGAGCCATGCGTTTTTTCATATGGGCCTCTGCGGTGCGCCCCCCCCCGGTTGTGCATGCATCTGTATGTGTGTGCACGCTGTAGCAGCCAGGAAGAGCTCCATGTTCGAATACCTTGGCTCGGAGGTACAATCGGGTTGATTCTGCTGGCATCCAGGTATCCCTGGCTCGTATTTGCGTGTTTGCTTAAAGCTCTGATCCTAGCCTTCGTGTGATATCATTGAACGATTGACAACCACCTATGTCGATCAAGCTGGCTCGAAACTAATGCGTTGCAGTTGCTTCCTTTAAGGAGTCCAGGCACTGTCTGCCAAGTACAAGCTAGCAAGTGCAGGATGCTACACATGCACATATCGGTCATCGATCAACAGGATGCATCCGGGCATTGTCTGACGATAGGATTCAGAAGTGTCACATCGATTTGTGACCATGGCAAGCTCTAATGCTGGTTCGGTGTCTCAGTTGCGGGAGACCGACTGCCCAGTCTTGAAAGCTTGGTCTTCTAGCCAATGGGTTTTGCAACGACTGATGACAAAGAACATGCTTGTCATTGCTGACAAGAGATTGAATCGCGAAGCTGTGGTCTTGAATCGCGAGCTTCTGATCCCTCTGATCAACCTGGTTGGAAACTAGGCTTCATTAAATCGGAGTTGCTGATAGACGTAGATGTGAAGCACCATCGCTCTGTCGACGATCCTAGGCTTGAGGCCAAGTGTCGACTTGGTGGCAACTTACTTGCAACGCCTATATGCAGGATGCGCACCGCCGGGCAAAGCTACTCCATCTGGTCCCTTGATCGATCGATTGTATTTGCATTTACTATATAGCTAGAGCTTAAACATATCTCATTACTGCCCCCAAGCTTAGGCGATGATGTCAAGACACAGGCATGGATGCTGCGCCGGCTAATCAGCATTTTTTCGAGAGCCGCTAAGCGCCCGCACACCCCGCGGGACAAGGGCTTCAGATCGATGATGAAAGAGGTGGGCATGGAGATTGCCAGTATTTCGGCTTCAGCTAGCACATGCGCAAAGATCAACCCTCTAGTCTGTTCTGCCCCTGTAACCGCACTTAGACATCCCAGGTGCTGGTCCGAGTGACGACTCTTCGGACTCTGAGTACTCCTACAGTGACGACGAAGGCTCTGAGAGTGAATCGGAGTCGGAAGAGGACCCTGAAGTCTCCGAGCCGTGGATATAGATTGGGCTGCAGCTTGCTAGTGTATCGGTCTGTGCAACGAACAGTCGCATGAAGCCCTACATATAAGGAGCCGATTTCCGCCCCGGCTACACCGACCAAGAAGCGAGCAAAGGTGGAACCCAAGTTGCCCAGCCCCCGCAAGCCCGGCATGGAAACCCCGACAGTTCGGGAAAGCCCATGCACTACAAGAGCATCGCCTTCTGTCTCTGACCATAGCTTCCAAGCTGCATTCACGTCTATATCTGCTTGCAACCGAGTATATATACCTAAACCCTAACCGCTGTAGTCCTAGCACTTACCCCAGAACAGTCCATTATAAACCCTAAATCCAGAATGCGATAATTCGAATGATCGAAATACTCCTGCCGCTCAGGTTCAGCGAAGCCACCCGCATCCCCGCCGATCGTGACGCCACCTCCGAAGGGCTTCTTGTCTGATGCATGCGTGCAATAATGAATCATATGTGTATTCCTGCATGGGTACTCTGTGTGCGCATGTGGTTGTGGTCGTTCTGGTGATGTGCATGATGTGGCATGGGTGCTTGTACCGATCATATGCAAGATCATGGTATTTTCCTGTGTGCATGCTAACTTGTATGTGCATCTGCTAGCACTTGAAAGTCAGTCTATGCATGCCTGGCCGTGTGCATTCATGGGTGTGCATGTACATACATACATACATGCATACATACATACATACATCCATGCATACATACATATACATACATACTTCCATACATATATAAATATATACACATATGTATATGCCATGTGAATGAATTCGGGTTCAAGACATCAGAGCCATGCCTGCATGCATTCATGCATACATGTGTATGCACGTAATACAAATGAGTTTGCAACGGTTAATTTGTCATGAGCATGCGCCAGAACGAGAGAGAGAGAGAGAGAG